AAAAAAAAAAAAAAAAAGAAATGAAATAAAACAGAATATCTCAAAAAAAAAAGTTATTTTAAGTCATAAAAAAAAAAAAAAAACCCTGTATAGAATAGCTTTCTGTCAGCTGGTATACCAGAGGAAAAAAGTAACAAAAACCTATAAGAACTTGAAAAGTGCCTTTCCTTCCACTAAGTCGATGCTAATAGCTCTTAACTACATAAAACGTGGAACAAGCACTTTGAGTTTCAATCCTGGCTCTGTCATTTATATATAATATAAATTTGGACAAGTTACTAAATCTAAGTTTCAGTTTCTTCACAATAAAGAAGAAACATTAAGTATCATTATTTCTTTCCCTTGTAGAACAGAAAGATGATCAAATTTCTGTTTTCTACACAAAAGCAATTTATTATAGCTGTAATTACTGTAACCCAGATTAGGTAATGAAATACTACCACCTTATGTGGGTATCAAACTATGTCGTTTTCAGAAGATTTTTCCAGATATCACTTCACTTGATCTTATTGGTAACCACTCTGTAAAGTAAGCAAGGCAGGTTTTATTCTCAGTTCCCACAAAGAAGGAAACTGAGCCTCAGCAAGCTGAAGTGATTTTCCTGAGATCATAGTTCTTAAAAGTTGGAGTGGGTCTAGAAATCAGGTCACTGGTCTCCAGGATCATGGGAAAGGAAAGAGGTGCGGAAAATAGTGGCAGCTTGTTAGGAGGACAAGAGGGTCAGAAATAAAGGAAATTAAAACAGGGAGAGAATGGGAGACATAGTTTGGGGATATTTTTACAGCTGCCGCAATGCTGTCCCAGGGCCCATCCTAGGTAGGGCCCTTTAAAGTCTTTACATGGCTGTGTGAACTATGACAGAAGAATTTAAGGTTACAAATTCCCTTTCACCCACAGAATCTCAATTTAGCTCATATTCTCAAAGCCAGAGGTACAGTGAGGTCTCAGGGACCAGGCTGTGATTACATACCAACCACCATTTTAATGAACAGAGCCGGTTAGTGTGGGTTTATGATTTATCACAAGCAGAAATCAACCAGACCTTGGGGCACATCAATCTAATATATGCTATTAATTACCCATGAGCTTGTCAACAAGTCAACAGCCCCCCACTGGTGGGACCGATGGGTTTGCAGAGAGCATGGTGAAAGCCAGTAAGCACCAGTGCAATGGGACTCCTGGAGGAAAGCTCCCTTCTGTTTCATCCTTACCCACAAGGTGAATCTCAGAGTCCACCAAGGAGGTGGCCCCAGACCACACCTTTCCTGGATGAGGCAATGTGTGTCTGTACAGACAACCATGGCACGTAACATCGGAAATGGACACTCACTAACCAACCTTCTTGACCCCAGAGCCGAGCATCTGAAATGCATTGTTCGGCTTGCGTGCTCTGCCTGGGGCTGGCCATCTGCTGCCCAGAGTGGGATCTGAAGCTGAGCAAGACTACCTCACACTCCTGCAAGTGCTACTGTATCAGAACCAGCAACACTTTCCCTCTAAAATAATTTCAAAGTTCTCCACTTGGTTTTGAATTAAAATAGACAAGAGGAGATAACTTGAAGTAAATTAGCAGTCTGAGGAACCAGCCTCAAAGTTCAGCCATGCAGTGCCAGTCCAAAGTATAGGGTAAGGGCCCTAGAAATGGGACTCAGAGATTCATCTCTGAGTATAAAATGAGAAAGTGACCACAGGAGATGCACAGGGTTTTCTGACCCTGACACTCTTTGTGTCTCTCTTTCCCTCCCTGTCCCCACTGGCTGGGCAAAGAAGTGAGACAGACGCGGGGCGTTCCGGGGAGGCTCCTCTGATCATCTCTCTGCGTTGATTGAGTTAATAAAGAACTTACTGTCTAAACAGAGCTTAAGGTTATACCAGGGCTTAAGGTTATACCAGGGAGAGTCTTTAAACGGAATGTATCTAATTACCAAATTTAAATTATTCCCACAAAAGCGTGATTTCTCAAGTAGGTTTGACTCTCGCAAGGTACATTTTCATTGTATAATGTATAAATCCTCACAATATCCCTGCAATATGGCTGCCCTGGGAAAGACAGATGGTGGTAGGCTGGTGGGGAGCTCTATGGGCTTTTGGACAACTCTGCAGGAACTTTTTAACCCCTCCAGTCAACACTCCTCTTGCATCCCTATCTGGTTACTCCATAAGCCTGACAAGTGGTGTTCCTATGGGTCTGACCCCTTGCATGCTCCCCACTTGGCTGTAGAGTTGTTTCTAGAATGGAAACTGGAGATCTCTCCTCTGATGAAAAGCCATCAATGGCTTCCCACAGATTTCAAGATAAAGATCGAATTCAGTAGCTTAGAAGAACAAGACTCCCTGGACCCTGCCCTGGTTCTCTGGCTTCTACCACACATACACTTTGCTCTATTCCTGGAATGTCGCTCCCTGTTCTGGGCCTACCTAGCATATCCACACCTCTCTTCCCCTAGCCTAGCCATTCTCCTAGATATTCCAAGCCACCTACTTTGGCCAGCTTTACCCTTCTCAATGCCAAGTGGGGAGACCTAGGTCCACATCATTGTGCTTGCTCCTATTACAGCAGTGGAAAGAATGCAGGAAGCTGGCATTTCCCCGGACACAAAGCATTGTTTTACGTCAGCACAACCTGACTTATCCTAACTTAGTGCCTGTGCCTGTTCATTGGGCACCTGGCGAATGTGTAATGATGGTTCCGGTCTCCACTTCCATCCAATTTACTTTATTAACATTTATTGGTGTTCTTTTTCCTCACTCTTTTTAAACAGGCTTCATATTTTCCTGAGTGCTTATTTTGATGGAGAGTCCTTAGTGTTGCAGTCCTGGAAGTTCATCTTCTACCAAGCACACATTTCAGGGGAGACATATTGAGAATAATGAGAGAAAAAGGAATACTGGCAGCCATGTGAATCAACACCGGTGATTAATGGAAGGGTAGAATTTGTAGCCTGAGACTCTCACATCTCTATTAGGGAAATGAAGGTGATGCCTTTCTTAAACTCTTAAATTCTGTACATGCTGAAGCACTCAAATGATGTAGTATTAATATAATCTCATTCAGTGCGTCTACTTAAGCTAAGTTAAAACACACCCAGACCAAAAACAGCGGGGAAAAAAAAAAAAAAGACTGACATGAAGCCCCAAAAAGAAGCATTCAAAAGGAATAGATTTTTTAAAGAGAGGTAGGGACGTGAGGGCACCAAACTCTGAAGATTCTCTATCACACCAAGAACTTAGCCCGCTCCTGAAAAGTAAGACTTTCTCATCATTTTCCTTGTGAGGTCTTCTTGGTAACTGTTCTTTCACCAAGAAGGGCTCATTGCTTACTAATAAACTTCCTACCTGGCAAAAGATCTCAATTAAAATCCCTCATCTGCTTTGAGCATTTATGTAATCATGAATGAGGCACTGGTTAAACACCACCAACACAATGTGGCTAATATTTCACATGCCTAAAGGCAAAGGGCTGGACCAGGCAATCTTCTGGGGTTTCATCCCAAAATGAAGCTCTCTCATCCCACGAATAGCGCCCAGGAGCAAAAACTCTCCATAGAAATTTAATCAAGAGACAGGTGATCAAGATAATCTGAGTCATCAAAAACTAAGAGCTCTGGAAATATGAAGAAATTATTTCTGTATAACAAGTTTAGGATTACTTTACTTTCATTCTCTTTTTTAGCAATTCAGCATTAACTTTCAAAAACTCAAATTTTATTCTCAAAGAAATAAATATCTGAAAAACACTGTAAATAAAAACAAATCTTTTTCCCCCCATTTTTAACAACCCATGGCCAGGAACACTATAAAGTTTATTGGGAAATACTGGTAATTGAATTAGGTATTGCATTCCCACTGAAACCAGCACATTACATTCCACATCTAGAAAGCATTTAAACACGGGTTGGAAATTTCAGCATCCGAGCAATACTTAGACATACGTGAGTGACATTATTGTCTGTCCAAACTATGTCCTTTTTCCTTATATTCTAAAGATCCTAGTCTGAATTTTTTTAAATGCACTGTTTGTAAGATAAACAGTTTTTTAAAGTGCAGAATGAAAGATGAGCATAATAACAGTAACAGTTAAGACTGCCTATTTAATTCGGTTACACACTGCCATCTAGCAGGAAGCCAGCATGGGAAGCCAGCAGTTTCAACAACGGAGCCGACTTTAATGAGCCTCCGATGCTAGGGTATTATTGCCTGTGGCTTTCAGGCCTAAGGAGAAAGTTCTGAGATTGAGGTTAGGGTGCTTCCTGATTGGTGACTCTGTCACTTTAGTGTGCAGATACCAGTGTTGCTTATCCAGTGCAATGGCCAGAACCCAACTGAAAGCCCTCCCTTGGAGACCAAGAGGTAAGTCAGAAGCAATGTCCTAGTTGCAGTGTGACATCACTAGCAAGCCCAGGATTGGTCCTGAGCTTCTGGGTCGTCTCCTCTGGAGAGAAGGAAGGGCACACAAGAGGGACGTCCGGAGGACCAACTTGCAAGGCTGAAGATCGGACCCAGGCAGAGTGCATGCACGCCACAAAATGAAATTAACAACCCAAGTCGCCACACGCATTTTAGGGAGCTGTGGCGGCGAGTAGGGGGCAGTCTCTTGGAGCTGTAATGTAAAGGAAAACAGTCACTGTGGGTGACACTTGCTACCTATTAAGGGATCATTAAAAGGTGCCCAGGAAATGTCTTAAAATCACATCGATGTTATTTCTACATCTTACACAAAGTGAGTTCTACTCCTAGGGCGCTCATCGGGTGCAAGAATACCTAAGAAATGGATTGCATGTTGGTAACGAAAGCCTGCCGTTCGGAGGGCTCCCTCCCCTCCCTCCCCACCCCCCTGCGCATCTTCTCGGTTAAATAAGCAAAGCTCGCTAGAGCTGAGCAGTCAGCATCGCTACCGCTGCACACAATTCCAGCAACAAGTGATTCTCAGTGAAGACGGCGGGGCAGAAGGAAGCGATTCGCAACACACAGGCGGCAGGGCGAGGTTATCGAACCGGTGGGGCTGGGAGGCTCGCGGCAGACCGGGAGCGACGCGAAATCCCCCAGTCGCCCCAGGTGGAGACCCGCGCGCCTTCCCGGGGCTCCTGCGCGCCATCGGCCTCCCACCTGGGCTTTTTCGGCCCCAGATAGGTTTAAATCTCAGGCGGTGACTCTGGAAAGCGCTGCCCAACGTTTTCCCAAACGGACTTGGATTCTTTTTCGGCGCACAACTCCGTCTTTTTCTGGCACAAGCTCCCTTCTGCGCACAAAGAGGAGGTGTGCTTCGGTAGCCCGTCCCGCGGGGCAGCGTCCCGGCTTCCGTGCGCCCCGCCGAAGTCTCCTTTCGTTTCTGGCCACCAAGAAGCCGTCCCCACCAAGGATCACCGCAGCCAGAAAAGACCCAGTGCCTCCCACTCACCTCGTCCTGGGGCAGGAGGCTCGCTGGCGGAGGGCAGCCCGGCAGTTCCCCACTTTCAGTTCGCGCCCCGCCGGGGCTCGGGCGAAGACTCGGAAGGGAGGTTCGGGAAAGGCGGAGAAGTCTCCACGCGCCCAGGCCCAGCGATCCTCCATCCAGGTTTTCACCGTCGCCGGGCCTATAAAGCCTGTCCACAGAGGTTCCTGGGAGTTTCTGCTCCTCCCTCCCTCGCGAGCCAACTCGCACCATGCAAGTTTCTGGAAGACTTCTGAGATTCTCTTTAAGTCAAGTCGCGGGACGCTTCTTCTCAAACTCTGCTAGGACTGGAGCAAATTCAAAGTCACCTATTCAGGGAAACTGAGAACATGCCAGGCAGAGCAGAGACCTGGGGATACATTTAACCAGGTCCCAGTGTTTGGTAGACTGAGCAGGGTGATCTTTAGTTTTATTTTAGTGGCGAAAGAAAACTAACTTCAGGTTACTGAATTCCACATTTAGAGAACCCAGTTAAAATTATTTTGCCCTGGTCTGCAGGAGAGGTGAGAAACCTAGGGAGGTAATTCAAGATCTTGGGAGGGCCAGGGCTTGGTTGACGCAAGTGAGGCATCTAAGGCTCAAAATATGAGGAGACACTGACTGAGCCCTACAAGTGCTGGGCGCACTTGCAGGAACCTGCGAGCCATTGATGCCCTAGGCCTGCCCCACTGTAGTCGTGGCTCTGAGGTCTCCACTGCCACGAACCGCAATTAACTACTCTGTAAAAAAAGGGTGGATAATAATGGTATCAGCCTCAAGAAACACCACACACACACACACACACACACACACACCACACACACCCCAAACATAAAGGAAAAGATTGATAAATTGGGTATCATTGAAAGTAAATTCTGTTCACCAAAAGACACTATTAATAGAAGGAAAAACCAGAGTCAAAGATATTTGCAATAGATTAATCTAAGAAAGAATTCATATCCAGAATATAGCAAGAACACCTATAACGTGATAACAAAAAAAAAAAAAACAATCAAAAAAGCAACCAAAGACTAATAAAAATCTCCTCTGGGAAGGAAGGAACCAAAGACATACATAGCACTTCACCAAAGAGAAATCTGAATGGCCAGTAAGTATGTGAAGGATGCTTAATTTCTTTAGTCATCAGGGAAATGCAGATTAACACAACAAATATATACTAGGACACATCCATCCATTCTAAAATTATGTATGGAACGACAAAAGACCTCGAATAGCCAAAGTATGCTTGAGAAAGAACAAAACGGGAGGTATCACAATCCCAGATTTCAAGATATAAAAGCTATAGTAATTAAAGCAGTATGGTACTAGCATAAGAATAGCCACATGGATCCATGGAACAGGATAGAGAGCAGAGAAATAAGCCCACACCTATATGGTCAATTAATCTATGACAAAGGAGCCAAGAATATAAAACTGGGCAAAGACGGTTGTTTCAATAAATGGTGTTGGGAAAAATTGACAGCTACATACAAAACAATGAAACTGTACTGCTTTATTACACCATACACAAAAATAAATTCAAAATGGGGGCACCTGGGTGGCTCAGTTGGTTAAGCGTCTGACTTCAGCTCAGGTCATGATCTCATGGTTCATGGGTTCGAGCCCCGCATAGGGCTCTGTGCCGACAGCCAGCTCAGAGCCTGGAGCCTGTTTCAGATTCTGTGTCTCCCCCTTTCTCTGACCCCCTCCTGTTCATGCTGTCTCTCTCTCTCTCTCTCTCTCTCTCTGTCAGAAATAAATCATAAGCAAATAAACAAACAAACTCAAAATGGATTAAAGACTTAAATATGAGACCCAAAACCATAAAACTCCTAAAAGAAAACATAAGCCGCAATCTCTTGGACATTGCCCTTAGCAACATATTTATGCATATGTCTCCTGAGGCCAGGGAAACAACAAATGAATGATTGGGACTACATCAAAATAAAAAGCTTTTGCACAGCAAAGGAAACCATCAACAAAACAAAAGGGCAACACAGTGAAAGGGAGAAGATATTTGTGAATGATATATCCAATGAGGGGTTCATATCCAAAACATATCCAACTCAACATCAAAAACAAAAACCAATTGGATTTTTAAAAAATGGGCAGCAGACCTGAATGTACAGTTTTCCAAAGAAGACATCCAAATAGCCAACAGACATATAAAAAAGTATTCAACATCACTAATCATTGGGGAAATAAAAACCAAAACCACAGGGAGATACCACCTCACACCAATCAGAAAGGCCAGTATGAAAAAGATAAGAAATAACAAGTACTGGTTAGGAAGTGGAGAAGAAAGACCTGCGTACTGCTGGTGGGAATGTAATTGGTACAGCCACTATGGAGAACAGTATGGAGACCCCTCAAAAAGTTAAAAATACTACTACCATATGATCCAGTAATTCCACTTCTGGGTATTTACCTGAAGAAAATGAAACATTAACTCAAAAACAGCTATACAGTTGACCCTTGGACAATGCAGGAGTTAGGGGCTTGCCAACCCCCCCCCGGCATACATATTTGGTGTATGTATTATACACTGTATTCTGACCATAAACTAAGCTAGAAAGATGAAAATGTTCAGAAAATCCTAAGGAAAAAAAATATGTGTACAGTACTATATACTTTATTAAAAAAAATTCACATATAAATGGACCCATAGAATTCAAACCCATGTTGTTGAAATGTTAATGGTATGCACCCCCACATTCGTTGCAGCATTATTTAATACCTGAAGATACGGAAACAGGTGTCTATCAATTGATGAATGGATAAGAAAATGCAGTATATATACACAATGGAATATTATTCAGCCATTAAAAATGAAATCTTGCCATTTTGTGAAGTGAATGGACCTAGAGGGCATTATGGTAAGTAAGTTAGAGAAGGACAAATACCATATGATCTCACTTACATGTGGAATCTAAGAAACCAAAACAAAGGCAACAAAGCTCATAGAAACAGAACAGAATGTTTGCAGGAGGGGAGAGAAATGGGTGAAGGGAATCAAAAGGCAAACTTCTAGTTATAAAAATGACAGTGATTTAATTTGCAGACGGTGATTATAGTTAAAAGTATGTATTACATATTTGAACGTTGCGAAGAGAGGTCTTTAAAGTTCTTATCATTAGAAAAAAATTATAATTGGGGCGCTTGGGTGGCTCAGTCGGTTAAGCGTCGGACTTTGGCTCAGGTCATGATCTCATGGTTCTTGGGTTTGAGCCCCGCATCGGGCTCTGTGCTGACAGCTAGCTCAGAGCCTGGAGCCTGCTTCAGATTCTGTTCCTCCCTCTCTCTCTGACCCCCCCCTGCTCATGCTGTCTCTCTCTCTCTCAGAAATAAATAAAAAACATTAAAATTTTTTTAAAAAAGAAAATTATAATTATATAGTGACAGATGCTAACTAGGCTTATTATGGTGATCCTCTTGCAATATATACATATATCGATCATTATTTTTTACTACTGAAACTAATATATTTCAATAGTTTTAAAAAACTATTCACTAGATTCACATGTTGGTGGTGAGCAGGGAAAGAGTGTGATTCTAAATCAAACTGAAAAATCTACCACTTCCCCAACTTAAAACAATCTGAGTAGGGTGGTGTGGTGCCCCTTATGAGTATCGTTTAGCTTCTTTTTTTTTTTTAATGTTTTATTTATTTCTGAGAGAGAGACAGCGTGAGCAGGAGAGGGTCAGAGAGAGAGGGAGACACAGAATCTGAAGACAGGCTCCAGGCTCTGAGCTAGCTGTCAGCACAGAGCCCTACGGGGCTCGAACCCACAGATCGTGAGACCACGACCTGAGCCGAAGTCGCTTAACAGAGTCACCCAGGCACCCCGAGTATCATTTAGCTTTTGATTTCTTCATTATTATTTTTTTTTAATTTTTTTTAAATGTTTTTATTTTTATTTCTAGGAGGGAGAGAGAGAGAGAGAGACAGACAGCGTGAGCAGGGGAGGGTCAGAGAGAGAGGGAGTCCCAGACTGAAACAGGCTCCAGGCTCTGAGCTGGCAGTCAGCACAGAGCCCGACGCGGGGCTCAAACCCACGAACCGCGAGATCATGACCCAAGCGAAAGTCGGACGCTTAACCGACTAAGCCACCCAGGCGCCCCTCTTCATTATTATTTTTTAAGAAGCTTCATCTTTTTATTTATTTTTTCAGTAATCTCTACTCCCAAGTTAGGGCTGAACGCAAGACTTGGAGATCAAGAGATGCATCATCTACCAATTGAGCCAGCCAGGCACCCTTTTTCCACATTATTTTAAACTTGATTTTACTAACATAAAAGGGCATGTGTGTGTGACAAGTCTTTAAACCAGGGAAAGCAAGTAGGCGAATGAGAACGATCACAACTGTTTTTTATTAAGCAATGTAAACTATGCATTTAGCATACCTCTAGTCCTCACATACCCCCATTTTTCAAATGGGATAATTTGCTAAAGGTCTACTGACTTTGCCCAAAGATATTTAGTAAATAGCAGTTGTTTTTTATAACCTAAGTTTGGCTCCAAAAACCAGTGTTAAATCAATGTTTTCCAGTGGTGTGGCTCTAATTCAGCTTTCACCTGCATGAAGCAAAATCACATTACTTATATTTATTGTATATTGTGATATGCAAATTAAGCGCCCACCCTTATTCCGAGACTGTTACCTTTTTTACTATTTCGGTGTTCAATGGAACTTTCTTTTGAAAAATGGTGTGAGCTAATAAAAGTTTTCTTTTTCCCATTAAAATAAAAAGCGGGAGAAAGCTGTTAGTCCTCCGATTTTTTTTTTTTTTTTTTTAATATTCTCTACTCCGTGAATTTCAAAGGTCAGGACCCAATTCCACACCAAACAGCAGTGTCTGCGCGGTTAAGTGGGGGACGAGTGAGCGCGGAAAGGAGGGTCTCAGGTGAAGAAGGACCGAGTTTGAGCTCCACAGTCTGGGGGACAAGGAGTAAAACCAACGCGGCCCGGAGGGGGTCCGCGCTTTCCCGGACGCACTCCGGGACCGAGGAGGCCCGGCGGCCGGCGAGGGACAGCCAATCCTCAGGGACAGTCACAACCGGCGCTTTGGACCACGGCGTGCCCAGCGACCTCTGCGCTCCAGGACTCGACCGACTCCTGCGCGGCGTGGCTGGAGGCGGGGGGGTCCAAGCCGGGTTTACAGTCCCAGGGTGAGCCCGGTGACAAGATCTATGCGGCGACACGAGCGCGCGGCGCCCGTCCGAACGTGGCGGCGGACGTGGAGACGAGGCCGGAAGTTAGACCGCCGGGAGGCGCTGTGCAAGCCGGCGAAATCAGAATTCTCGCGATAGGTGAGACTGGGCTTTCCGGAAGTGACTCCCCGGAAGAAGCATGGTTGCTCCCCAGATCGGACCGGGGTTTGCACGCTGAACCGCCGGCACCATGCAGTCAGATGACGTGAGTGTCCTGTTTTCTCTGCCACCTGGGTTCTCCTGCTTTAGGAGGCTCGGAAGCCACATACTTAGCTGGCCTATTAGCGTCATGTCGCTCCGGAACCGAGGCTTCCAGAACCCCGATTTCCGAGCGTGGGGATCTCACGTGTCTACCCGGGATCTCCAGCCCGCTGCCTCAGCGGCTTGAACAGGCCAGAACAGCGCCACTCAGTCCACAGGGTTGGATTACCCAGTCCCTGGTGCCCAGCAGTGAAGGACTTTGCCTGTGGTGTCTCTGGACGTGGGGGCGAGGTTGGGGGTGGTTTAGACATCAGATTTCAAGATCCCGTTCTTCCATGTACATGTTACCTTAAAATCTAATTTTGCTGTGTTAGGTTTTTCTTCACATTTGTTCCTGGTCTGCCCACGTCTTAATTTTTGGAAGCATCCGCGATTCATTTAATTAGTCCTGAGAAATACAGAAGCGCTTACAGTGTGCCAGGCACTGTGGTAATTACTGGAGATTTAGTTGTTAATAAGCCAGACAAAAGACCTCTGCTTTTCTGGAGCACTCTGATGGAGGGGACAGATGGTAAACAAGTGAACAAACTGAAAACCATTGTACTGTGTAATAATACTGTGAAAGGAAGAGAGAGGTTGATGAAGGAGAGAGTAATTAGGAGAGACCACTTCAGACAACGCTGATCTGGGAAGGTTTCTCTGAATAAAAGACATTTGAACTGAGATCTAAAAGATGAGAATGAACTATCATTGAGGAGCTGAGGGGAAAGCAAAATACCTGGGAAGTAGAACAGTAAAATACAAAGGTCTGGAGGTGAGAGAGAAGGAATGTATTAAAGAATATTGATGTGACCTATGCTGTAGGAATTTAGGGAAAAGAGAGGTAATGAAGTTGGATATGCTTGCGGAACTAGATCATGTAGTGTCTGTTAGGGCTTTTAATGGGAAATGACATCTGACTTCGTGAAAAGTTGTCTACTTCTGTGAAAGGCTTTTGAACGAGAGAAAGCATAAAAGCAAGGAGACCTAGAGTATGATGAAAGTAGTTTCAACTCCGGTTGTAAGGGTGGAGATGTAAAGAAGTGAATGGATTTGAGATCTGTATTATCAGTATAACCAAAAAGACTATGTGATGGATTCAGTGATGAGGAAAAGGAAGTATTCAAAGGATTTGGGATTTGAACAAATAGTTCAGTGGTGGTTTTATTTATGGGGTGGGGAAGGAACACATTATTCTTACAAGAGGTGTGGAATAAAGAGCTTCATTTGGACATGTTAATGTGTATGATGCCTTCCAGACTTCCAAGTGGAGATGTTAAGTAGACGGTTGGATGTGCATACAAGTCTGTAGCTCAGGAGAGACGTCTGACCAGGAGATGGCAATTTGGGAGTCCTCAACTTACAGATGACATTTAAAGCCACAAGCCAGAATGAGCGCCTACTTTCCCAGTTTCATTTCCCCCTATCTGTCTCCTATCAATCCCCTGCTACACACACATCCTATAAAATTCCCAAAATGTTGTTCTATTTGTTTACACTTCTTTACACATTAGGCTTTACCTACTATAGCCTCTTTAAAGCTTTTCCCAATTCCTCAGGGCAGCCCACTCAAAGGCTCCTACAAACTTCTTTTGCGGCACTTAGACCAGTGCTTTGTGATGCTTTGGTTACATTTCTTTCTCCCTATGTAGATAAAACTGTTTAAGGACGCTGTCTTCCTTCATTCAACAAATTCTTGAGTGCCTCCTGTGTCAGGACTTTAGGATTGTCAGTGCTTTATGTAAATTAAATACACCATCAGTGCTGAATGAAGAAAGAACTCATTAGGTGATAGAAGATAGCAGTAAATGATTTTCTTTTCCCAGATAAGATGAAATTATGGTACATATATCCAGCAATCTAGTTCTGTACAATGGATTATGAACATATTAAAGTTACAAAATAAATGTAATCTCATTTTTGTTAAAAATATTCATACAGGCATGCTGGTTGCTGGAATGTGTGTGTATAGAAAAAAATTTAAAAATATTTACAAGATCCTACTAACCTTTTATCTGTGGGGAATGGGGTTGTGGTTATTGATAATTTGTATTTTTTTCCTTCAAGAATCTGTGTAAAAAGAAAACAAATCAGACTGTTGTAAAAATGTTGATTTATTTATTTTGAGAGAAAGAGGGAGTGTACAGGCAGGGGAAGGGGAGAGAGAGAGAGAGAGAGAGAATATCCCAAGCAGGCTCCACCATGTTAGCACAGAGCCCAGTGTGGGGCTTGAACTCACAAGCCATGAGGTCATGACCTGAGCTGAAATCCAGAGTAGGATGCTTAACCAACTGAGCCACCCAGACACTGCACAAATCAGACTGTTTTATAGAGCATGTCTTCCTCCTCTCGTTTCTCAGAGACTCCGTTAAGACCTCAGTGAACCAGGGCTCTATGTTTTCTTGGGCTAATACTCCTACCTGTTGGGTCAGAGCAATTAAATGGGTTCTTATTGTGTCTTGCAGGTTATCTGGGACACACTAGGAAACAAGCAATTTTGTTCCTTCAAAATAAGGTGAGTCTGGATTTGCAACTTGGGCAAAGATTCCTTCAATTGTCCTCTTGGTAACCCATCTTACAGTTTTTGCTCCTTTCCTCACATTCTAGAACTAAGACTCAGAGTTTCTGCAGAAATGAATACAGCCTGACCGGACTGTGTAATCGGTCATCTTGTCCCCTGGCAAACAGTCAGTATGCCACTATCAAAGAAGAGAAAGGTAACTCCTTAGTTTGAACTTCCATGAGAACTAGCCCACAGCTTTTAAAAGGATATTCTTTCGTCATCCGTAAGCAGTATTAATGGTATTTTCTTTATCCTGCAGGACAGTGCTATTTGTATATGAAGGTTATAGAACGAGCAGCTTTTCCTAGGCGTCTCTGGGAACGGGTAAGACTTGGGACATAAAATTACAGTGGCCATTGATCAATAGCAAGCCACATGCTTTTCTCTCTTCCTTGACCACAGCTACATTAAACTTTTGAAGCGAACCTCATTAGGCTCCTGGGTAGCATAGCAGTGAAGACCTAATCATTCACCCTCACTCTTCAAGCTTTGTTTTTCTATTTATAGGTCCGGCTTCATAAAAACTATGAGAAAGCACTGGAGCAAATAGACGAAAATCTAATTTATTGGCCTCGTTTTATTCGACACAAGTGTAAGCAGAGATTCACCAAGATCACCCAGTACCTAATTAGAATTAGAAAACTTACATTAAAGCGACAGTAAGTATTTAGATCATTCATCTATTGTATGTATTTTTTTAAGTCTTTCCTTGGATCATATTATGAAGATGAGAGACTGTAGTAATGGTTCTTATTAAATTCAATTTCAGGTAACCTTTTATGATATGTTAAGAAGAAGAAAGTTTACCTCTGGTTAAAGTTGTGCACTTTGATTTTGCAGGATTTAAAAAACAGTATAGGAGGGGTACCTGGGTAGCTCAGTTGGTTAAGCATCTGAATCTTGATTTCAGCTCAGGTCGTGATCTCTCGGTTCGTGGGATCAAGCCCCACATCAGGCTAGACGCTGACAGAGCAGAACCTGCTTGGGATTCTCTTTCTCCCTCTCTCTCTCTGCCCTTCTCCTGCTCACACATACAGGCTCACTTGCACTCTGCTCTCTCTCAAAATAAATAAAAATAAACTTAAAAAAAATAAAGAACAATATAGTAGAACTTGATGATCCTCTCCTGTCTGAAAATCAGCGGCAGGAAATTGTGTAACTCCTTGACACAATCATAAAATTAGGAATTTGACAATGACCTAAAAAATGTGAATAAATAAGAATGTAAGAACTTTACTCTGGGTTCACTGAAAACCAATTTTAAAAAGTGATGTGAAATCCATGGGACTAATTGGATATCTTCCTAAGGAGTAATAGGTCCTAATACTTCATTGTGACATGCAGAGAAAGCTAAAGGTGTCAGTCTTCTATAAGGCAATTTTTTTTTTAATGTTCATTTTTGAGAAAGAGCATGTGAGAGTTGGGGGTCAGAGGGAGCAGAGAGAGAAGAGGACAGAGGATCCAAAGCAGGCCCTGCACTGACAGTAGTGAGCCCGATATGGGGCTTGAACTCACAAACTGTAAGATAGATCATGATCCAAGCCAAAGTCAGACACTTAACTGACTAAGCCACCCAAGCACCCCTGCAGAAAACTCTTTTAGTTAACTGAACGATTAATCATGAAGCATTGTGAGTGCCCTCAGAAGTCTCAGAATGCCCAAAGAAGACAAAAAGTAAAATAAAATTATGTGTAAAAATGTGTGATTTGTTGTAGTATTAATTACTTAGGGAATTGTTAAGTATATAATTTGGCTATATTGTGCTGAGCCCTACAAAATAACTTCCAATCCTATTTTCTCATTTTTTTTTTTAAGGAACACACAAAACATGCACTTGGGATTTCTGATAATGTGTTTTATTTTCCATAGGAGGAAACTTGTTCCCTTGAGTAAGAAGGTGGAACGGAGGGAAAAAAGAAGAGAGGTAACATCCTTCTTGTATTCAGCGCTTTTGTATTTCATTGAGGGTAGGGCTCTGTAGGTAAGGATCATGAGAAAGACTCAGTCACCATTTCCTGTGAACGGTTCGGGCCTTGGGTAGTAGTTTGCTAACGGATAACAGTGTAAGTTGGGTAAGATCGGATATTCGTATTTTAAGATTATGAATTTCAGGGCAGGCGAAAATAAGGGTTCTTGGGAATATATTTAATGGAGAACAGAGAAAATACCTTGCCTGAAATTCTTGAGGTTAAGTATTTTAGAAATCAGAATTTGGGGGGACACCTGGATGGCTCAGTCAGTTAAGTGTCCGACTTTGGCTCTGGTCATAATCTCATGGTCTGTGAATTCGAACCCTGCATCAGGCCTATGCTGACAGCTCAGAGCCTGGAGCCTGCTTCAGATGCTGCATCTCCCATTCTCTCTGCGCCTCCCCCATTGACACTTTGTCTCTCTGTCTCTCAAAAATAATTAAACATTAAAAAGAGAGAAATCAGAATTTTGGCATGTTGCCAATCTTATACATTGTATACTACTCAGAGCAGGGTTTGAGCATTCTTTTTTCATTTTTTTCCATGGTAAATGTACTCTTTGGTTCCCATTCCCTCTTTCCCCTATCCCCCTACCCACCCACCCACCTCCCCTCTGGTAACCTTCAGTTTTCTATAGTTAAGAATCTGTTTTGGGGCGGCAGGGGGAGGATCTGTTTGGGTTTTCTTCCTTGTTTGTTTTGTTTCTCAAATACCACTTTCTCTTTATCCATTCATCAATCTATGGACACTTGGGCTGCTCCCATATTTTGGCTATTTTAAATAATGCTGCCATAGACAGAGGGATGTGTGTATCCCTTTGAATTAGCATTTTTGGTTTTGGGGGGAAATTACCCAGTAGTGCGATGGCTAGATTGTGGTGTAGTACATTTTTAACTTTTTGAGGACTCTCCATACTGTTTTCTACAGCGACTACACCAGTTTGCATTCCCACCAACAATGCAAAAGGGTTTCTCCACATCTTCATCAACACTTGATGTTTCTTGTGTTTTTGATTTTAGCCATTCTGACAGGTGTGAGGTGATATCTCATTGTAGTTTTGATTTGCATTTCCATGATGAGTGATGTTGAGCATCTTTTCATGGGTCTTTTAGCCATCTGGGTGTCTTTGATGAAATGTCTGTTCGTGTTTTCTGCCCGTTTTTATTTATTTATTTTTAAGTTTATTTTGAGAGAGAGTGTGTGTGTGCGCGCGCACAAGTTGGGGGGGAGGGGTAGAGGGAGGGGGAGAGAGAGAGAGAAAAAGAGAGAATCCTGAGCAGGCTCTGCATTGCCAGTGCAGAACACAATGTGGGGATCAAACCCATTAACCATGAGATCATGACCTGAGCTGAAGTCAGACGCTTAACCAACTGAGCCATCCAGGCGCCCCTGCCTATTTTTAAATTGGATTGTTTTTTGGGTATTGAGTAGTATCAGTTATTTATGTACTAACCCTTAATCAGATATGCTCTTTGCAGGTATTTTCCATTGCGTAGGTTGCCTTTTAGTTTTGCTGATTGTTTCCTTCACTGTACAAAAATGTTTTATTTTAATATAGTCTCAATAGTTTATTTTTGCATTTATTTCCCTTGCCTCAGGAGACATGTGTAGAAGAATGTTGTTGCTATGTATGGCCAATGTCAGAGAATACTGCCTGTTCCCCTTTCCAGGATTTTTATGGTTTGGTTCTCATATTTAGGCCTTTAATCTGTTTTGAGTTTATTTTTGTGTGTATGGTGAAAGAAAGTGGTCCAGTTTCATTACTTTGCCTGCAGCTCTTCAGTTTTTCCAACAGTGCTTACTGAAGAGACTTTTTCCCATTGCATATTTCATTCCTTCTTCGTCAAAGATTAATTGGCCATATAACTGTAAATTTATTTCTGGATTTTCTGTTTTATTCCATTGATTTATGGGTCTATTTTAATGCCAGCAGCATACTGTTTTAACTAACTACTATTGGTACTATAACTTGAAGTCTGGAATTGTGGTATCTTCAGTTTTTTCTTTTGCAACATAGCTCTGCAGTGAAATATAAGATAGTTCACACTATCACAGGCCCGACCCTGCTTAGCTTCTGAGATCAGACGACATTGGGCACATTCAGGGTGGTATGGCCGTAGACCTACTATTTCTAATTCTAACAAAGCCTCAGTTTATAAGACTTGAAGATCTGTCATGATCTTTACTATTAAATTAATATGGCCTTAAGACTGGCTGGAAAGATAGTGTGAGGTTAGATTTTTATGTTTTGTTTGTGGGTGGTACAGGTTGATGCCATGTGTCATTTTCAGTGAGGTCACTAGAGGAAGAGATTTTTAATCTTATTTTTCTGTCATAGAATCTAATGTGGTTTTAGAAAACAGTATGAGTAAAGGGTCTCTATTTCTTTTTCTCAGCTTTTACAAAATCTGTTTCAGGATTGTTACTTTTCTAAGACACTTACATGTATGTAGATCAGCATGCTTTCTAGATCCATGAAAGGCTTTGGTAGCATTTAATTTAGAATGCTATTATAAAACCATAGGAACTGTTTTAATTGAAAAGTTTCTAAGGCTTGAGAAGGAAAGGAGAAATCTATCTGGTTGGAGAGGCAAAAAGTCCCAGTGGTAGCAAGAGGGGTAAAAGTGATTTTTTTTTCTGTAAATAAAAATGTGACAGCTTCTTTTACTTCTACAGGCTGAAAAATGAGTACTAATGAGGTAAATGGGTTTACTCATATTTTTCTGTTACAGGAAAAGGCATTAATAGCTGCTCAGCTGGACAATGCCATTGAAAAGGAATTGCTGGAGAGACTGAAACAAGACACGGTAAGAAAGCTAGGAAGTTTGGGATATAAATTTTACCTTTTAGACAGTAATAGTTTGCTAGGAAATAGTGGGAAGTGTGTTTTACTTCCAAAGATGCTAGAAAGATCTTCATCTTGATTTGCTTCGTGGAATAAAGCAAGTACACAGGCCTTGGCTCCCCCATTTTAGTTCCCGGACACCAACGCAAACAATGCCCTGGTGACCTTCAGTGGCCCATCCAGTGTGAGAGAGCTTTCCCTCTGCACCGTGCTGCAAGCTCCTGTTCCTGACCCGACAGTCTCTGTGTAAAGTCAGGCAGTTTGATCCTCCTGCGTATTACGTTAGTCTTCTAAGGTTCTTTAAAATGAGTTATTTCTTCTTAAAAACTAGTGTCATTTACAAGACAGAAAGAATAGACGTTTTCCTTATTTGCTCCCTGTCAGTAAATTTACATTATTCCTACCCCCTGGCTTTATAAACTACTAAGTTTTAAGAGATCAGGTTCCATCCTTCATAGTGTTTGATATTAATCATTATTTAAATGCCAAAAATGGGCTTTTAAGGATATTGTTGGCTCTAGGCTGAAATTAATATAGAAAAATTATTAGCCATCACATTATTTGCGTTTAATCACGGAGGAGGAAACAATACATTCATTGGATAGTGGACTTCAAGTGTAAAATCCAGATGTCGTTAACGCCAGTCTGTATGTTCTTCAGTATGGCGACATCTACAACTTCCCCATTCATGCCTTCAACAAGGCCCTGGAGCAGCAGGAGGCAGAGAGTGACTCTTCAGACGCTGAGGAGAAAGACGATGAAGATGAAGACGTAAGCCTGTTTGTTCATTTTTGCTTCATGAAGCAGTAATCTGTAGACCTGGATCTTTTATATGTATCTGAGTGACAGACTAGTATGTTCACTCCCCTAACCAAAAATAATTATTTGGTCCTTTTTTCCTATCACGAGATTAATTTTAGTTCAGCCAACAAACTATTAACATGTTGGCAGTTTTATTCTTACTGGCATTCTAAAATTTTTCCTGCAGGGGGACAAATGAAGAATCCTCATCAGCTGACAGAATATACCATTCAGGAACCTGAAATTTATAAAGGATTTAATTTCACTATTACTATAGGGGAGGTACTTGAGTGATAGCCTTTTAGAAAAAGGCCAGATTAGCAGGTAATTGCTGATCACGTAGTACACGCACACAGGCACACAGGTGTACTTTCCCTAGCAATAACCTGGTTTTGATAGTTGAAATTAATAGGTTTAACTGAATTGTTTGTAAAGGCTTTCGTATGTAGTTTTTTTTAACAAATTAAAATGAGATGTTTAACCTCTAATGATTTATAGTAGGCATGAGAATTGATACCCTAAAATGCTTTTAATTCAAAAGTATTAAACTTGGAAGTAAGTAGATTTTGGTTTTGTCTAGTAAGTAGACCATGATTCTGTTTGTTACTGTTGCACTTAGCAAAGAATAAAACTAGATGTGTAAGCTGAGTTTCCATTCTGTATTTTGAACTTAACAGTTATGTTTTGTTTTAGGATGTGGGAAAGAGAGAGTTTGTGGAAGATGATGAGGTGGAGGAGAGTGACATAAGTGACTTTGAGGTGAGAGTTATGGGCAAAAAATTGATCTTTGACCTTCAGAGAACAGAAGGTTTCTGAACACACACGGAGGCAGATCAGTTGTCTAGTTCTAAATTGAGAGGACAATGAAAGGAGTTGGAGAATGAATCTAGCATTTTCTCTTTTTTTTCTCTCTCTCTCTCATCAGGATATGGATAAACTGGATGCCAGTAGTGATGAAGGTCAGGATGATGAATCCTCCAGTGAGGAAGAAGAAAAGTCCCCTGAAGCCAAACATAAAGGCAAAAAGCCCTTGAAAGGACCTTTGCAGAGAAAACGAGCCTACGTAGAGATAGAGTATGAGCAGGAGACAGAGCCTGTGGCCAAGGCCAAAGCTACATGACTTCCCTTCAGACACTGATAACAGGACTGAACATTTTCAGTATCCTCCTTTCTTCTACCTTACACCTGTATATACCTCCAGTTCTCACTCTTTCATATGGTATTTCACACAATATTTGTGTCTTTGATATTTATGCTGCTTCTGTGGGGCAAGAAATCTGGGAGTGGAAAGCGCCTTAAGTTGTGAACAGAGTATTTTTATAGTGTTGGCATATGTTTTGAAGTAACAGCTTGAGCCCAAGAAGCTTAACAGATGAATTTGTGGGTATAAATATTTCTAGATTTTCAATGCTACCCACCTGTTTTCTTTGGTATCCTTCCTCCCCGCCCCCCACCTTTATTTAGAAATGTTCAGGCTTCAGTTGTTCTTGTTCTCCTTTCCCTACTTCTGTGGGAATAAAAGAAGGAAAAAGAAGAACTAAGTTCCACTGTTTAGTGTAAAAATACCTTTTTTTCTTTAAGTAATTCCATATATACAGTTGGAACAAGAAGAACAGCCTTCCTGTTTGAGGAATAAGACAAATCTTAAGTTCCATCGCAGGGCGTGCCTTCGGAACCCTGCTGGACTTTTCTCATACAGTCCACCACCTTGGCGTCTTCACAGCTTTGGAGAATTTTGACCAGGAGACCCTGAAACATGAAAAATAGACTCTGATTTTTTTTTTAATTGATATTTATTTTCCTTTTACCTTGGTTCTTGGTACCTTACTCAAAGAAAGAAAGAATGGCTGAGACTAGGGAACAGTTCGTGGGACACGTGTCACTTGAAAACCATGTTGGCATGCGTGCACGCGTCCTGCCACCGCAGGAGGAAGGAGACTGACCCAGCCAGTGCAAATCAGACTGGATCCAGGACTCGAAAACTGCCAGAGATTAGTAAAGAGCCAACACAAAGTAATTTGAATAAACTGACAAAACAGATAATACTCCCTATAAATATTTTTTGGATATGAATTTTTTTCATGCTGCTTTATAACCTGAAGATTTCTAAAGGGGATAAAAAATGAGGCAATAGTTTATGTATGTAAATATACACACAGCCATTATATGCTTTGGCTTTGAGAAGATGACTTTTGTGAAATGTGAAACTAAAGGAAGAATGCCCATGTAAATAAAAACAAGGAAAAATACAGGTGCCCTAGAAGACGTTTCTGGGATCTGAGTTACTCGATATTACTACTCCTTGGTGGCTTATTATAGCTCATTATTTCATCCTTAAAAAAAAAGATGATTAAAACAGAACTTAAGTTTTAAGAACTCCTAAGTCTTTTGCCTATTTTCTATCCTCACCCCAGAGACATCTGATCCTCTTGCCTTTTGGTCTAAATAACTGAAAAGCTTTAAAAGTTGAATAAGGTGTTCATCCACCTTTACTGAAGGTTACAGGGCTCAAAGATGAAGCCCTGAACGATGCATGTTCATTTACAAACAGGGTCACACATGTGAACAGTAAATTATAGTCCCAGGAGCTCCCTAAGGGCCAGGTTGCAGACTCCTACCTTCACTTGTCCTTGACAGCAGTGGTCCAGGAGAATCAGGCAATCTGTGGTCTCCTCTAACAAGGTGCTCTTAACAGGCTCAGGTGTAAGGTTTGGATCCCTTGCTACATCACATACCAGTTTCAAGAGAGCCTTCAATAAGACCACAAGTCTACAGGAAACTCTGGAATCGGGAAGAAAAAAGTTAGGTTCATACTCTAAACCAGGATATTAAAATGGACACTTTGAAAGCCATCTAAGTTGTAAAGCCCTCATTTCCTAAATGAAGGAATTGGAGTTAAATGAAAAGACAGTGGAGCTGGAAGCAGAACTAGAGGCCAGACGCCAGATTTCTGAACTTGGAGCCCTTCTGTCTGCAGCATAGCGCCTATATACACACTCCAGCCTGCCACGCCAGAAGCCTGGTTCTACTGTAAGGGAATAGCCCCTCCTGGAAAGTGAGAAGTGGGATCTCTGCTTACCTGAGGCTTTTACTTTGGGCCAGAGAACAGAGGGTAGCCCACAGGCCTTTAACTTTTATACAGTCTTAGGCCTGAATATGCTTGGCTTCTGGGATCTAATTGTCAATTAGAATTTTCTGTCATTTGATTCCAGATCCTAGCTCACCCTCAGTTAAGCCCAACCTATTTACTTAACTTCTTAGCATTTCTGGAAATTTTTTATTTTGATAAAAAAGGTTCTGGAAAAGGATAGTCATGATGATGTACAAAATTGTGAAGGTACTTAATGTCACTGAATCCATTTTAAATGGCAAATTTATGTAGGTTTTTTTATAATTAAAAAAAAAAAAAACACTTAAAAGACTTAATGGAAGCTGAGGAACAATTTAGCTTGTAGTGCAACCTGCCCGCTTGGCTGTTTTACCTGGGCCAAGCGTACTGCATGAGAAGTTTTAAGGTTTCCAGTATCTTCAATCTCGCCTCCTCCTCTGGTCCATCATAAACCTCCAGGTAACCAATGATGACTCGCTCCAGCCTCTTCAAGTGCCGGACGATTAGGATCCCCAACCTAGAAAGGAAAGAGAAGACTTGGCACCAAGGGGATAAACTTGAGGAGTGTGGCCAGACCTGCGGCTCGTACACTTGCCTCCTCACAAACACTGGTAGGTTTCTCGCGTAGGTCCTGCGCAAGAGAAGGCGGTGCTCTGGCTCCATGTGGGTCAGGATCAACTGCAGCACCTCGTCACAATGCGTGGTGGCTCGAGCCGCACCTCCCTTCCAGTGCAGCCCTTTCTCCAGGACAGGGAACAAGTCCAGCAGACACGAGAGCACAGCCTGGGAGGAAGTAACAGAGAAGGGTTCATCCATCTGCATTCACTGCCTTGTCTAGCAACTTTATTGTCTGTCCTTGGGGGCCACGCTACACAATTCTGAAAGATAACCAGTAAAAATACAATATTACTTTTTTTTAACATTTATTTTTGGGAAAGCATGAGTGGGGAAGGGCAGAAAGAGAGGGAGAGAATCCCAAGCAGGCTCTGCGCTGACAGCATGGCAACATGGGCCTTGAAATCCCAAACTGTGAGATCATGACCTGAGCCGATATCTACAATCAGATGCTTAACCAACTGAGCCAGCCAGGCGCCCCAAGTGTATATTACTTTATATTCTTTTTGTGTATGTGTGTGTGTTTATTTTTGAGAGAGGGAGAGAAAGACAGACACAGTGCAAGCAGGGGAGAGGCAGAGAGAGGGAGACACAGAATGGGAAGCAGGCTCTAGGCTCTAAGCTGTTGGCACAGAGCCCTATGTGGGGCTCAAACTCTCAAACCACGAGATCATGACCTGAGCCAAAGTCAGACGCTTAACCAACTGAGCCACTCAGGCACCCCGTACTTTCTATTTTCAAATTTGCTTTCCATTATCTCCCAACAAGTTATCTTTGCTAAACTGAAATGGGACTTTATGAGCACACCTGGGACTTTAACCCAAATTAAATTTTTTTTCATGTTTATTATCTATTTCATGAGAGCATGAGCAGTGGACGAACAGAGAACAAGAGAGAATCCTAAACTGTGAGATCATGACCTGAGCTGAAATCAAGAGCTGGACGCTCCACCAACTGAGCCACCCAGGTGCCCCAGACTTTAACCCCAGAGTCTAAGTCTATTGCCATTAAATATCTAAGTTTAAGCAGTTGTTATAAGCACTGACAATAAACCACTCCTAAACAGAATCTAAGATAGTCCTCAGTTGTGCCCGGTTTGACCACCCTATCTCAAGTTTCAGAGTCAAGGCTCTCCTGGGATTTTTGTTTTTTCTTAGTTTTGTTTTGAAACCACCATCTAAAGAGCCCTAAGCTTTTGGTTCTTAGTTCCTGGATCCTCAATTTAATACCTAAATTAACATCTCAAATGAAAAGTGGCAGGAGAGTGGGGGAAGGGAAGGCAGGCATAAAAGTTATTTCTACCTCTGACTATATAACTTGTTTTCTCTGTCTTCAGAATGTTCTCCCATCCTAAGAAAGTTCTATTTATCTTTCAAATATCCCCTCCTTTCCAAATCCTCCTAAAACTATCCCAACACCACCAAACCTGGTTAGTTGCCTTTTGCCAGACACTCCCTGCACTATATACAAATGTCTTTTAATAGATTTATCACTCTGCACTGTAAGGCATGTAAAAATACTCATTTATTTACATGTCTTTCCAAAGGGTTTCATAAAGCCAGAAACACTGTTCATTCATCCTGGTTACTAGTACACAGTAGATATTCAATGGGTACCAGATGAAAGAATGGCACTGTCACATCTAACATACAAGGAGTTCCAACTGCGAGTGGACAGCAGCAGAGAAGAATGCTTAGATTAATAAAAGTAGAACTTTTCACACATAAAGCCACCCTCAAATAATACGGAATCGACCCAAATGAAGACAAAACACTGGCTTTTCTGTGGCGATTCAGCAATGCGGACACCTGCTTAGTACTGAGACATTTTCACTAGTGATCTGCTACCTCTTTACTTTCAAGCTGCCTAGGACTTAGTTATCATGCTCACTTTTAAAGAGACGAAAATGTCTCCACTATTCTTACACAACGGCACCTTCTACTCAAATCTGAGAACTGCGACCCACAGTTAGAAACAAATCTCACAGGGGCGCCTGGGAGGCTTAGTCGGTTAAACGTCCGACTTTCGCTTAGGTCATGATCTTGCGGTTCGTGGGTTCAAGCCCCGTGTCGGGCTCTGTGCTGCCAGCTCAGAGCCTGGAGCCTGTTTCAGTCTGTGGCTCCCTCTCTCTGACCCTCCCCTGCTCACGCTGTCTCTCTCTCTCTCTCTCCTAGAAATAAATAAAACATTTAAAAAAAAAAAAAAAGAAACAAATCTCACAATTACCTGGGTGAGCTGGTGCTCCGGCATGTACAGGTGGTTGAAAAGGGCATGGTACAGGACCTGGGCTCTGTTATACTGGAGCAAATCAGCAGCTGGCTGCAAGCAAATTACCCAATTAAACATTTCTCAAGGGTGCCAAAACGTTGCTGATTTTTGATACTGAATTATGGGGACATAGGATCTCTTATACCATAGGATTCATAACAGCACTCTCAGCAGAAGCATGCCAGGCCCATAAGAGTACTCTCTCCTGTGTATATTTTAAAAGCTCCATGACACAGTTAAGAGGAAAAAAACCAAAAAGTTTCCTTGAGTACAGCCTGCACATTTGGGTATAATCCCTTTCAGTTTCCCATTCTTTTGCTCCTTGAAACTCAACTGTTAATTACTCAAGGTCTGGTTATTCATTTTGACATGCATGACGATGGCCCACGTGTCTTCCATATACTACCTATCGGATACAATCTACTAGGGTGGTGGAAGGAACATACAAAGAAAAAATATAAATAAGTGAATTTTTCTACATAACAGCATTAATAGAAAGGTAATAGGAGATAGAAAAAGCAACCATCGGGAT